GAACAAAAACGTGGCAAAAGGTAATCCAAAAACACAAGGAACAGAATAACACAGTGAACTCCAGATAACATCAAGGTCAGACATGGGAAGACAAATACAATATAGCAGCAATGACAGACAGAGTGAGCATGGTATATATGGATGCGATAATGAGTAAATGACTAACAGGTGAATATGATCGGAACTGATAATCAGGTGCTCATGATCAGACAGAATGACAAGCAAAGGACTATGGGAAATGGAGTTAAACACATAACAAGAAACTGGAGAGTACCCTCAAGTGGCCAGTCCAGGGCAACCAGACACTGTGACAGTACTGTGTTAGGCTAACTGAGACTTGTTATATCGCTTGCATATCATTGCTTTTTTGTTGATTTTGACTGCTTCCATTGTCCTCATTTGTAAGTCGCTTTGGATAAAAGCATCTGCTAAATGACTAAATGTAAATGAACAAGTATTTGTAATTTTACTCTTAACTGCTATGCTGTATTGAAAAGCCTATAACAGATTTGGTGTTCCTGGATTTCTGTGCTGCAGGAGTGGCGTCACGCTCACGGCATGCGCTGTTTAGGCATTCCTTATACAGCCCACTTCGCCAACGTCACCCAGATTGAGGACGCAGTGTCCCGTGAGTACAATAATTCATCACAGATATACAACCAGAATTCTGGAAATGTTGGGACGTTTTTTAAATTTGAATAAAATGAAAACTAAAAGACTTTCAAATCACATGAGCCAATAGTTTATTCACAATAGAACATAGAGAACATAACAAATGTTCAAACTGAGAAATGTTACACTTTTATCCACTAAATGAGCTCATTTCAAATTTGATGCCTGCCACAGGTCTCAAAAACGTTGGCACGGGTGTAACAAAGCACAGGCGCAGCACAGCAGTGTAGCACACATTGATTGGCACATGCGCATCACAGACAGGCAGAGAGCCGCAGAAGTGAAGCCTTCCCTTTCCAGTTCTGTTTGTCTTGGTGTGGAGATGAGTGGTGATGAACAAATGATTAAGCTACCTATGCCTCGAATTTACAGTGAATTACCCAAAAGACAAAAGGCAATTATAGTTAATTTGTCTTGCTAACATCCATGACTCATGAGAGCTACATGATTCAGTTCATTGCATGATTCAGTTTATTAAAATGCATTTAGAATGATCACAAAATTCAAGATATGGAGGCAGAACTGCATATATTTATATAATTTCATATAGTTAATCAGTATCACGCGAAGACTGATGTTTTTTCCAGCAAAAAGCAGCATAATTACAAATGTGATATTGATTTTATACAGCAGTTCAATAAACAATAATTTAATAGTAAGATACTTACGTTTTAAACACAATATTGACTGTTTTTGCTCTGTTTCGCCAAGAAATAGAATACCAATTTGCATCTCTGAGCAACACGATAGTGTTCGTTTCTGAATGAATCAACCGTTTAAATGATTCCGGTTCAGTTGCAATGACTCTCTTATTAACAGTGACTTGCTGCCACCTACTGGCGGTTTTAATTTCACATTTAAAGTATCTTTTCATTTTTTTTTATAATTTCAAATATCAGTATTCAACGTTTTATGTTTAAAATATTAAAACAGTATGAATGCATAACTGCAGGCTAAATACATTCATGTCCTGCATTAAACAGTGTGTAAATGCATCTAAATGCACCTTAATGCAGCTTCTGTGTTTTCTCTGCATTGCAAAGATGGATTATGTCAATACTGATTTCATTTAAAAGGTAAAAATCTATTTAAACTTATTGGAAAAGATTAATTTCTATCTGAAAAAAAT